CACACACACACACACACACACTCTATATATATATATATATATATATATATATATATATATATATATATATATATATATATATATATATATATATATATATATATATATATACACATAATACATACATGTGTGTGTGTGTGTACTTTATATTACCAAATATAATATCCCCATAAGTGTAATACCAGTAAACTTTGACATTTTAGGGAGATTTTTTTGGTCTCCATGATAAAAACAGCCCATAAACCTTACAAAATGAAGTATTTTGCAAATGTAAAATGCAGATGTGTGTGTATGTTTGTGTGTGTGTGTGTGTTTCTTTGACTCATAAAAAACCTCTGCTATATTTCACGAGAAATGATCATGATCACTTAATCTATTCATTCATTCATTAATTTATTTTCCTTCGATGATTCATCTGGAGGTCGCCACAGCGGAATGAACCACCAACTTAACCAGCATAGGTTTTAACACAGTGGATGCCCTTCCAGCTGCAACCAAGTACTGGGAACCATCCATACACTCTCATTCACACACACACACACACTACAGCCAATTTAGTTTATTCAATTCACTTAAACCGCATGTCTTTAGACTGTAGGGGAAACAGGAGCACCCTGAGGAAACCCATGCAAAAACGGGGGAAACCATGCAAACTCCACAGAGAAATGCCAACTGACCCAGCCAGGACTCGAACCAGCAACCTTTTTGCTGTAAGGCAACAATGCTAACCACTGAGCCACCCTGTCACCATCACTTATTCCATACATCTGAAATACATCATGTTATGGTTTAATTGGTGCTCGGCAAAGATTAATCGTGATTTATCGTTTCCAAAAAAAGCTTGCCTTGACAATAACATCTGTGTATATTTATTATGTTTATATAAATACACACACATGCATGACATCTTATGTCAAAACAAACTTTTATTTTGGTTTAATTGTGATTTATCTTTGCCTCGCACTAGTTGTATTGTACCCATGCACCTAAAAAAAATGTTCACTGCTCCTTTTTAGAAATTTCAATCGCATTTGGATTAAATCTACAGTATATGTTCACAGAATCGAATCAAGACTGTAGAGCTTGTGAATCAGAATCAAATCAGGACATCTGATCAGCCCTAAACAGCAGTTGAATGATTGATGCTTGAGAGAGGATGTGGTACCTTGAGGGACTCCGTCTGAAGGCCTAAGCCCTTGGTGCAAAGCTCCATGACGGAATACGAGCAGAACGTGTCCCTGACCCGGAACTGACTGACAGCCAGCAGCCACAGAGCAGGGTTCACCTCCAGCTCGGATGGGGGAATCAAGATGGACTGATGTCCTGAATACACACTTCACCCAGCAGAAAGAGAGAGAGAGAGAGAGAGAGAGAGAGAAACACCACATTACCACAACACAACCTGCACACCCTGACAAATAAGACACATCAGTCGAGCGAGACAGGAGCTGAGTGCACACTTTCTGCTAGAGAAGACACAGCGCAGCATAAAAACACACACACACACACACACACACACACACACACACACATACACTGGTTTGAACGCAGCCCAAGTTTTTAAAGGCAGGGCTTTATTGAGAAACTGGTTCAATATTTGTGTGGCTCATCAGGCTGTGCTCGCTGACATGGAAATCTAAAATACTCCAGTGATGAACTGTAGCCGGATGAACGAATTGTTATGTGTCTGAAGTGAGTGAGATGGTCTGGGTTGGCAATAGTAAATATAATCGTTTGGAATTACAGTAACTAAAACAATGGAGTTTTTAAAAAATGTGTTATTGGAGCTAAGTCTAGGTTATATGAGTTTCATTAGCTGAATGTTTCACTGAAAAGATCAGTAAGCAGTAGAAACAGAAGTAATAAATATTTACAATGTTTAAATGTCCTTGTGAACAAATAAAATAAAATAATATAAGAATAAAAATGAGGGTTTTTATACTTAACTTGAACTTTTAACTAAAGCAATTTTTGTTACTTACAGTATAATAAATGTTACCCACTGTAATTGTTTTTACTACCTTTTTTAGAATTTATTTGATCAAACACTTCCGATGTTCAGTCACACTCTGCAATAAAGCTCCATTAGTTAATTAAAGCTCATGTACAGCATTTATTAATCATAGTTCAACATTTACTAATGCATTAGTTAAATCTAAAGTTTGCTTGTTAACATTAGATAATGCACTGTGAGTTAACAAGAACTAATAATGACTGGCTTTATGTTCATTAACTAATGTTACCAAAGATTAATAAATGCTGTATTAAATATAATGTTCATTGTTTGCTCACATTAACTGAGCAAATACATAATGGAACCTTACCGTAAAAGTGATCAAATAAATTAACAAATTAATAAAATCCAGCATGCTGACTGACAACTTAACATTTCAAAATAATTGTAAATAATATTAATATTTATTTATACCACTGCAATGGCTTGCCCAGTGGCAAAGCATCCAAACTAGGGCTGCACTTAATTATTTTTTTTTAAAAACATACATTGCGATATTTAGATTTCTGCGATTTATATGGCGAAATGTCACAAGATAACTTGAAAAGCTCTATTAGAAATTTTTTTTTTTCAATTGATTGGGATGATTATGAAGGGGAGTGCATCTGCGTAAAATACAGTAAACAAATTGCAAGCGTATATTAATACAGAGCAAATATACAAATGAAGCAGTTTACTATTCAGTAACAGCAATAAAATAAACAAATGTACAACAAGGCTATATAGTTTTCATTGTATGAAAATAATCAAATGTAATTAATCTTTGTTACGAATGTAGCTGGCAGCTAGTCCTCTGAAACTCTCACATGGTCACCCAATGAAGCCAAGCAGGGCTGCGCACGGTCAGTACCTGGATGGGAGACCACATGGGAAAGCTAGGTTGCTGCCAGAAGTGGTGTTAGTGAGACCAGCAGGGAGCACTCAACCTGCAGTATGTTTGGGTCCTAATGCCCAGGTATAGTGACAGGGGCTCTATGAGTGCTTGATGAGTGTTGTCTTTTGGAGGTCAGAAGTCATTAAAAATCCATCATAGCCTCCTAACCATCCCCATTTCATAACTGGCTTTATCAATCTGTCTCCTTTCCACCAATAAGCTGGTCCAATATCACGTCAATCAGGTGGAGGCTGCACACTGGTGGTGGATAAGGAGATTCCCCCCAATGTGTAAAGTGCTTTGGTTGCCCAGAAAAGAGCTATATAAATGTAAGGAAATATTATTATTATTTAAGCCTCAAAGCTTTAAAATTACCTAAACTTTATCCACAGCCCTTAAAACAAGCTTATTGTTAAAGTAAAATGACTCATAAATTCTCATGTGTTCTGAACTACAACTCAACAACTCAACTCAACAATAGTCCTGACTTCACATTATACGTCCAGCGATTTGAATATTGCAGATTCACAAATTGCGATATCGATGCTAAAACAATATATTGTGCAGCCCTAATCCAAACTAAGTTCAATTACTGCTTGCTTTTAAAAACTGTGAAAAAAAAATATTCGTAAATTACACTTTAAACATTCCTTTTAATACATAATAATATAATATTGCACAAAGTTTTTTCTGTGTTTTTACTAATACTTTACACGTGTTTAAAAACTAAATGTTAGTATGCCTTTCACCTGCTCCATTAGTATATTTTTTTGTGTCTTACCTGCAGAGGCACCAGAGGACGAAGCCGAGGCCACAGTATGGATCCAGGCAGATAGCCACCTCCCGAGAGGGATACAGCTCACACTGGAGCTTTATAGAGCGGCAAAAGGCACTAGTGGCTGTGTGGGACATCTGACGACATGCAAAAACACAAGCAAAATTAATATTAACAACCATATGTCACTTAATTGTGCTTTATTAAATGCATAATGAGATGATTGATGAATGATGAGCGTAAGTGTCGAGTTAAAGTCCAAATAAAAGAGTATGTAAGTGTATAAGGCTTCTGAAGGCCCGAATAGATCAGTTTTTAGTCAAAGGACAGAGAAACTACACAATACTGGGTGGTCTCCACAAAAATCATTCATGGCTCCCATGACAGAAAAGCAGCTGCCTGGTTTTCATCTCTAAACAATAAAAGAAGAAAAGTTCCTCTGTGCGCATGACACCTGATCTCCACGATTGTGAACTGAGAAGGGTTAGTTTTCTCTTTTCAAATGCATTCTTTTAATTTGTTGTCTATGTGTGTGTGTGTGTGTGTATGTGTGTGTGTGTGTGTGTGTGTGTGTGTGTGTGTGTGTATGTGTGTGTGTGTGTGTGTGTGTGTGTGTGTGTGTGTATGTGTGTGTGTGTGTGTGTGTGTGTGGTTGTGTGTGTGTGGTTGTGTGTGTGTGTGTGTGTGTGTGTGTGTGTGTGTGTGTGTGTGTGTGTGTGTGTGTGTGTGTGTGTGTGTGTGTGTGTGTGTGTGTGTGTGTGTGTTGAGGAAGCAAAGAGCAGTGGTTTCACATTTCACCCAAAATGAGAAAGCGAACGCTCACCTTTACTCCTGCAAGCATCCCGGTAGTGGAGACACTGAAGTCCAAGTAAGCCAGCGTGTCTGGATTGGAGGGTTTGTAGAGCTGAGGAGGCTTCTTCTTTGGCAGATCATCTGGAAAACATGCATTGAAGATATTAAAATCACCATAAAATCAACACTGGACTATTGCAGAATAATAAATCATTTTTGCATGTGCAACATCATTTTTAAAATGCTCCTTTGATGTTTTTTGGACATTATCTTTTATCTATAATGTAAATATAAAATGTCAGCAAAGTTTCAAATATTAAAGTCATTATAAATAGGATTATTGTCAACAAAAAGAATGTACTGATTCTAAACTGCCTAAAACAAGTTGTCAGTAGATCCAGGGTTACTACCTGAACAAACCGACAGTATGTGGTTTGTGGAAAATAATGCCAGCACTTGGTCTTTAATGATCAAATGCACTGTAATTATAGCTAAACCCTGGAAGAGTTTGGTTTGTGTCATCAACATGACATGAACACATTGTTTTGTGTGATGTGAAAGCAAATATCAATTGCCAGCACTTCCAAAAAATGAGAACTGGTGTGGTAAAAGTAACGCCATCTTTAAAGTTTGCATCACTGTTTCCACATTGGCTGATGAAGCCTTTAGAGCTTTGTTTTCTAAACAGGCACTATAAGCAAAAAACTAATCAAAACAGACTGTGCCATCTAGACCAATCACAGCAGAATAGACTCTCGGAAAGGCGGGATTTGGAGAAACTGAATCTTTAACAAACTATTTCAGACACTGTGAGGACTGGGCTGATGTTGCAGTTCATATTATGATATATATATATATATATATATATATATATATATATATATATATATATATATATATATATATATATATATATATATATATATATATATATATATATATATATATATATATATATATATATATATATATATATATATATATATATATATATATATATATATATATATATATATATATATATATATATATATATATATATATATATATATATATATATATATATATATATATATATATATATATATATATATATATATATATATATATATATATATATATATATATATATATATATATATATATATATATATATATATATATATATATATATATATATATATATATATATATATATATATATATATATATATATATATATATATATATATATATATATATATATATATATATATATATAT